TTGATCAATGTATAGCCTATAAATTATACATAAATTATGTACATAAATATATCTAGGCACCATATGTGTTTGTGTGATTGTTATTAATGTTGTCTGAAAAGGTTACAGGCAATCTAATTGTAATTTATGACTTTTTTTGCCTTATATAAGTACCAGGTTACCAGGGAATCGAGGTATGAAACACTGTTGTGGTTGAAAAGCAACGTGGGTGTTTTGAGTGTTAAATCAATGTCAAAATACATTGCGATCCCCTAAATTGTACGGAGCGTGAACTGAGAACAGTCTAATTTGTTTTGGACCAAAAAAAAACAAAAAAAACATATATATTGAAATGCAATTTCATCACCAGGGATGTGTTAGAAAATCATATTTGAAATGGTGTTCAAAGTTCAAGCAAGGGACCCACTAAAAGAAATCCAACAATACCCCATCCTGCTCAGGCTTTGAGACTCCTCTCATACAAGCTCTATCCAATTTTCTCAGTGAGTGTGTGTTTGTATGTGTGTGGCAAACAGACCAGCGGTTTGAGATGGAGCTTTGATCGGTTCTCTCTCCGTTGCCCTCTGAATCAAAGATATCTTGCTCTGTGCTTTCAGTGCAGATGGCATGTGTGAGTATGTGTGTGTGTTCATCAGGCTCCTTGTTGTGGCCGCAGGAAGAAATGGCCATTATAGTATCACAGTAAAAGCCCTGTGCTTGTGTTTTATTTGATTGAATACAATTTATGGCTGCTTTATGAAAATGACCAGACATGCTCCATTTTCCTGTTTTACTCAAATGAGGTCTTTTGTTTGTCACACCATGGTGCACATCACAGGAACCAATCAAAATTCCCCACCACGGTCAGTTACAGGAATGCAAACTGAAAACTGCATTACACATTCATTCCAGATTGCGAAGAGCAAAGGCAGGATAAACGAGGCTGTGATTAGAGAGAAGAGCTCTTCCAGAGGCAGCTGTCCTATCCCTTTATACCACAAGAACACTCAGTAATAGGTTTGCACTGACAACAAACCACAGGTCTGCCATTAGCAGTCTGTCTTAGAGCCTCTTCGCAGAAGTAAGTGAGCACAAATGTGACGCACCCAACACACACAAATAATCTTAGTTGTCTCATTTATATGCCTTTAACTTTGGGCTGTCTATCTCTCCTCTTTCAGACGAGCCTTGCTCAGATTTTTGATGAACTTTTGAAGATAATGATCGGCTACTGAGATCACATTTCCACCCCAGCCTCTAACACAGGTAAAAGCTGTTTTGAAACTTAATGAAAAAGAATCAATAAACCCCTCGCTACCCTGTATTCAGAATGCAATTATCTTTTTGTACTTTGTACCATGACAGGCAGTGATGGGTTTTCTCTCATCTCTCATTTAAACAATGCTCGCGACAAGATGCAGGACATTACTTATACTTTACATGATCATACAGTCATTCTGCGTCAATGTTTAGCTCATTGCTCCAAATGAAGTGATCTCTGTCAAGTATAACTTGTTTCAGGCACAAAGAATAATTCTTGTCTCGGTGATCAGAATTCGAGCTGAAATGTAATTTATTGCTCCTGGGAGCCATTCAAAGTGGAGTTGCAGGTAAGACATCAGAGACAAAGTAAGGCGAGCCTGTCATCCTCTGACAACTCGGCTTGAGGGTGGGATCACTTACACCTGAGAGATATCTAACCTGGTCGTACTCCCTCTCACACCTCCACTCCCCCACTTATCGTCTTCTCAGCCCTGTGTGTGTTCTCAAATATTCATGACCATGCAGCCAGTGTCATCTTAGAATATCTAAATGTGAGGCCCAAGGCACAGGGAAATCATCCTACTATGAAATTCTTCAGCCCTCTACGAACGTTAAGGCAGCCATCTATAAACCCGGCTCCATCAATCTCCTCCCTCTCACCGTCTCAGTTTCTTCCCCTCTTATTTCCACTCCAAAACTCTTGTGGCATAGATGCCATGGCATATCATACAAAATGGCGCATGTGCTTTTTCCCCCCCTATGTATTCAGTTCTTCCCATGTGTGCTTCTCTGCTTTCCACTGAAGTGAATCAGCTTGTGGCTCAACATCCGCTACCAAAGCTAAAAGTGACATGTAAAACTTTTGACAGCTGATTTGTAAAATGCAAATACACAGAGCAAATTGTATGTATGCTCTGGCTCAAGAAAAAAAAAAAAAAAAGCAAGATTAAATGACTGTGCCTACACTGAGTGATTCTCGATCTGCCACTTAAGCAACTGGGAGCTGACGTATTGTGCCAGCTCATGTTCAGGGTCATGCCTGTGTCACTCTAAAGTCTCTCTAATGAGACCCAGACAAGTACGCAGCGCCCAGCAGAGCGGAGCTGAACATCTAAAAGCTGACTGCAGCACAGAAAAACTGGTGCCAGAGAAAAGACTGATCTATATGTATTGCGGGGCATTAAATAGGGCAATTTCATTAAATGGTCCTCAAAATCTTTTTTCTTCTACGAGGTGTGTCAGAGAAGTTCAAGGACTGGTGTCACAAAAGATATATTTCAAATCAAAACTACAAGTTTTCCCCTTTGAAGCAATCCCCCTGGAGTCTAACACACTTCCCCAGCCTTCTCTGCCACGCTGCCACGCACTCCTGGAAGGATTCTTTCAGGATCCTCCACAGCTCCGTCATCACAGCCATCTTGATGTCGTCCACGTCTTCCAAACGGGTCCCCTTGATGACCCCCTTGACTTTGGGGAAGAGGAAAAAATCCCATGGAGCCAGGTGGGGTGAGTAGGGAGGTTGCTCCAGTACAGCGATGTTCTTCTCAGCCAGGAACTGTCAGATGCTCAGGGCATGGTGAGCAGGCGCGTTGTCATGGTGAAGCAGCCACGACTTGTCCTGCCACAACTCTCGCCTCTTCTCGCACACTGAACGAAGCAAACAGGATCTCTTTGTAGACGTGCTGGTTGATCGTCTGACTCACAGTTTGTAGCTTGGGTTTGAAACATATCTTTTGTGACACCAGTCCTGGAACTTTTCTGATACACCTTATACATTCAAATGAAGTTGTGATGCGGGTCATCATTCAAAAAGTTATTTCTTGAAGGCAGAAAGAGACAACGAGAAGAGTTTGAAAGTATGAAACGCTCAACAGGACCGGTCCTATGAAGCTGTTGATTCAGCCTTAAGCTCTAAAAGCCGAGCTTGACTGAAATGTTTTGTTCTGTATCAATGATACTCTTGACAGTCTGACAGGAGCCATTGAGAAATATCAGTCGCATAGCAAGAGTGAAGGACAGCGAGAGAAAGACAGAGACACGAAAAAAACCCAAATTCTAAAGCAGTTAATAAAATCAAATATTTTATCCAGCACCTACAGATGAAAGCATCCGTGGCCGGCACCGGCCCTGAAAATAGCTCGCTTTTTCCAAAAAGCTTTTCCTATAAGCTTGAACTAAGGTGGTAAATATTTTACCAGGCATCAGTAAAGTATCTTTATATCCAGTGTTTAGTAAAATCTCAGGCGGCAGCACACAAAACAACACAAGATATACTCCCAGAGCGCAGGTGGAGAATGAATGGAGAGTTTATACAGTGCTGAGCTCACATGGGCCTTGTTCATCATGAATATTCAATACACCACCTTAGAATAAACTATTGTGTTCTCATTTCAAGCATATTTCAACTGGGACTGCGTTTCAAGGATGAATTCAAAAAGGCAAATGACTAAAGTAAGCTGATCTACAGATTTTACGTTTCAATAGCAGATATTTAGTCGTACCACATAAGCAAGAATAGACGCTTTCACTCTATTTATCAGGTTATGTGTTGTTTTTTGTTTGTTTTTGATAGGCAGAACCAAAGACAGGACAGGATGTCCCATTAAAAATGTATGTAATTAAGTAATAAATACATAAATTCCAGTGCACACAACTGTGCAAACAAAGTTATTTTGGAGGACAGAATGTGAGTAGGCTATAACGACATATATAAATAATGTTTTTAAAAGTATGAATATTTATTGATTATACTGTACAATCTTTTTTCACTGAAATAATGAAAAGATTAACCCAGGCTGTCTATATATGAGCATGTTTATAGACATACAATTATGCCAGTTTTGCAAATGCTGCACTAAAAGCAATAGTCTGGATGTTTACTTGACTGCATGAAAGGCCAGAGCTTCATAATCCCATTTACACAACAGAAAATATTATTTCAAACATCCAGAGGGAAATTTTCCTTCAAGAAAAATATGAGCCAACATCTTTAATGGAGCTCAGGATGCATCCAAACAAGTCAACATAATTTCACTGTATGAAAAAAGATTAGATTACCAGTGTGGAGTTTAGAAAAACACAGACTGCCTATTTTTCTAAGCAGGTTGTATCTGAAGATTAAAGCAATAAATGAAGACAGTCACGCTGTTTGACATGTGCATATTAGTGAAATAATGGCCTCCATTTATTATCGAAATCACATTAAATTAGCACTTTGATGTGCACTTGAGTGTGTTGATTCGAAAAAAATATATATATATATAAATGGATATCAAATTAGAAACACAAGACTCACTATACATGAAAACATTGGCTGTTGACTCCCGAGGTTGTCAATAAGACACACAGGTGGAATCACAAGACACAGTTTGGTGCCAAAGCAAGTCGCAGATTCTCTTTTAATCAACCTGCTGCAAGTATTTGTTTCAGGCAACAAAACTACTGTAATTACCGGCCATACAGTCAGAGAGAAAAACATAAACAGTGATCTTATGCCAGACAAAAATGACACTGCAACTGTGTTTGTGCTACAGCTGGCTTTGTGCCAGCGCTAAATCAGAGGCCCTAATGTGATACATTTGCAAATACTAACCACTGCTATAATGGAGTCCTAACTCATCATAATGCTCATGAATGTTTCATAGTAAGTTATGCCAAATTAAGATCTTGGCACCCAGGGTTGAGAGGGGTGCTTGATTAAGATCAAGCACACACCCACACTGAAGAGCCTGTTATAAAGTCTGTTTTAAATGTCTAAATCAGAGGGCCCAGCCCATTCGGGATTCTATGTCTGGCTCTCTTTCCAATTCCCACTGATGTCCCGATTGGTGTTCCCATGGGATCGGTGCCAAAGGACGGGCTGCCATGTTCAGATACTCGTCGAAGTCTGCATACCCTTTTCCTCCAAAACTCAAGGCTAAAGGTCTTAGTCTGAGAAGGACTCAAATGAACAGTTACTAAGATAGTTCTGTCATGAACTGCTATAGTTCAGCACACAACTCTTTGCATCTCACAATCTGTAGGATAAATTTAAACTTAATGAGATTCTGAAGCGGATGTCTCGCAGCTTTTCATGTTCATCCCCTGTAAAGTTTAAAGCTCAGTGCTGCACAACCAACACTTGAAAGATGGCTGCTTCGCAACTGGCTTTGAACGCACTGTCATCATTATCCCTCTTTCTCACTTACTGGAGTCTGCAAATATAAAACACGCACATGCAGAGCAAAACAACAACTGTGAACTCACAGATTCCTGGTTCTTGTCCTTTGCATCATACACCGTTAGCTTGACTAGGGTCTCGGGGCTAGCAGGATACTCTGAGGGGAAGGTCACCCCCGTCAGAAACAGCGGGTCTTTGTTCGCCTGTCAGAGAGAGGGACAACAACAGAAAAAGGGTGAGATACAATATATGTGTTTGTGTGGGTGCACGCTCATGCACATTTCTCCTGCAACACACATGTTCATGAAAAAGCAGGAAGCCAAAGGGGGGAAAAGAAAGGAGGGAGGGAGACTTGGGAGGGTAAATGAGCCAGCAGCTGGGCTCAGCCTGTCCTCTTTCTCCTCCCGGCGATTCTTCCTCACTCCTCCCGCCTCCCCTGCTGCCTCTCCTGGGCACAAAAAAGGAGAAGATAGAGCTCTCCCTGGTGGGTCTACCTGCAGCTCTGGCATAACTACAGTCTCCGAACTGAGACTGCAGGTCAGAAGCAACAAATGTTGAAAGGTAAGTTGGCACAGCGGCAGGCTGGCAATGGGATTAAACCAGATAGAGCAGCCAGTGTTGAGGCTTTCAGACATACCAGAAGGCTGCATGGCATTAGTTAATATTTGCTCACAAGCTCCCTGAAATCACAATACCCAGTCATCCCCTTTACCTTCTGCAGGGCATGTTTTGCCATGGCCTTAAGAGAGCTTGCTTTCACTCCACTGGAAAAATGTCCACCTAACAAGGGTGTTATGGGTATTTACTGTACATTTAAAACTTCTCTAAAAGCACCGCAGTGACAGCAGTGAGGAACTGTGACATCTAACAGAGTGGAACAGGAAAAACAAGTACAATGGCGTTGTTTGTCTTCAAACACACTGACATATTACTGATTTCAACAACATTTTGAAAAAGATTTTCTCAGAAAAGAGATTTTCTGAGTGTTGAGACAAACTTTACTGTTAAAAGAAGCTTGTTTTTAAGAGACTTGTTTTAGCAAAATTCAAACTGTTAAAACTTTTATCTGCCAGACAATTAGGTCCAACAGTTTGTTTACTTCACTATAAAATTAAAGATTTAACAGGATCTTTATCAAGATTTTAAGGTGTGGCATCCTGAGAGTTTCAGCTGGCTGCATAATTTATATCAATGATCAGTGCTAGCCTATTAACCTTGTAGGTCATCACACTCATTCTTTCCTTTGAATCTAATCTGATATGGCTCAAATCAGACTCAAACAAATTCAGTCCTTTTTTTCCCCTAATATAATTCACCATAAATTCCACTGCAAAATTAATTGTATTGCACCAGTAGCTGAGGGGCTTTCCTGAGAAGACTCGAGAACTTGTTGTTGTCTATTTGAACCAATTCAAAGCAGTTTGTGTTTACAATGGGGGCTTCCTCTTCCTCCGCTCTGCTCTGATGGGCGTTTCTAGAATGCACTCCTCGGGGACCATGTGGGGACAGACTGGGGAGTGGTAATGAGACTGACACAGACAGACTGGCAGACATGCACGGATGTATGGTCACACCCTCGAGTGTCAGCAGAGAAAAAAAGTCTGGGCAGCACAGCTGAAATAAATATGGCATTGTAAATATCCCGCTGTGACAAACGGAAGCAAAATTCCACATGAAATATTTACATGGAGTGCAGAAGAATGTACAATGTTTGACTGCACAAAATACAACAAGCACAACCATAACAAATTATTACATCAATTAAATATGACTTCTATGAAAGTGGATGAACCATGCTTTGACATGTTGCAGAGACTTTAAATATTACAATCTGGGAATGATGAAAAGAGTTGTACACTCATTTTAAATTCTAACTTGTTTTTTTTTTAAAAGGGAAAACATTTGTTGGCTCTTCTTCAGTGGATAGAACACTAAATTGTTCTTCAATGCAGTTTTATCTATATAGCATCAGCTCACAATCTAAGTCATCTTGACTTCACATAGTGCAACCAAGGTCTGACAATACCATATTATATCCAAAACCCCAACAAATCCACAGATTCTCTTGTGCAGGCTCTTGGGGACAGCGGCTATAGAGACAAGAAACTAAGGCAGAGAGAGTATGACACGTAACAAAGGTTTCCCTGCTGGGAACTAAACCATGGATGTTGTGGTTATGTGGTGAGTGCATTAGACCACTGCACGCCTCACTGCGTCCTCTATTACTCCACTGAAATGAACCTGTGGTTTAGAGTCAGTGCGCAGGTGTTTCCATCAATTACCACAACACGTCTGCATAATGATGGATTATGTAGGTTTTTTTTAAAAAAGCAATAATTGAATGCATCACCAGCTCTCCTGTAACTCAAGACTAACACACTAGCTAGCAGAGCTTTGGATTACAATAAGGTTGTTTCAGGCTTTTAAGAGTTTTCCCTAAAAACAGCAGCAAACGTTACATGCAGAAAGACAGAATTATTTGCTGAACTGCGGCAGGAACACAGACCCACCTCCTCACCGCACAACTAACACCGCTGATCCTTCAGAAACCTTACGTGGGCTGACAGAGGGGAAACAAAACAATCGCTTCTGATTTTAGCCTCTCAAGACGTGGTAACACCAGTCTTGATGCCCGGTGGCATTTTGCCGCCCAGCCATGAAGCTGTGCGGTTTGTGTATGCTAACATCCTAAACACACAGCCTGATTCAGCACAGCGGATACAGACACAGTGGAACCAATGCAGTGCTTTGAGCTCAGTGCAAATTGGGATATTATCAGTACTGCACACTGAGAAAAAGACAGACTGAGGCATTATGCTCAAGAATGTGCAGGTACACACACACATAACCTTTTACACCTCCCTCACTGGCACACTGAATAGGCCTCATTCAGACTTACCAGCATGCTTGGCAGCCTCAGCTGCGGCTGAATCTTCTTAGTGCTACTGATGGGCTGAGATGAGCTAGAGTGGTAAGCCTGTCTCCATTTACACAGAGAAGTAAGCCAGTCTGTCATACAAGTGGTCAACATATGCTCTGGGAGACAGCTGCCCCTCTCTTGTCTTTTTGTGCGTTTGTGTTGCAAACCAATTTGGGCCATTAGGAGGGTGTGTGCCTTTGTGTGTGATAGGGTTGGAGGGGGGAGGACGAGTATTCTGACTTGAGTCTCCAAACACTGAAAGGTTTTTTCCCTCCATTGACCAGTCGTAATTACATATACACACAGAGCGGGGACTTTTTGGACTCATTCCAGACAGGGGGTTCTTTGCTTGACTAGCATGACATCAAAGGCTGTTTTATCCCCTGGCTTTGTGTGACGTCAAATCCCCTCGAGTACCGCCACTTCTGGACCCATTGCCCATGTTGAAGGAATGCAGTTTTCCTCCACAAGACATATTAGGGTTTGGCAGAAAAACCGGGCTCTTTCCATCCCAAGTTTCTTGTCTCCTGTGTCACACTACACATACAGAGGAAGCGTGCGCATGTGGAAAACAAAGCACTTGCACTCCTTACTTCAAGCACAGGCCATTTGTTTTCTCTGGACACCCAATAAGAGATTCTAGATAGCATTTTTGTGTCGGCAGCTTCAAATACAAATTTGTCCAAGATGTTTCCTGTTGCAGTTTAAAGAGATTTAGAGAGCTTTAGATTTTCTACTTAAGCTGTCACTGGTCCTTTCTGTTTTACCAACAGTAGATTAAGATACTGTATCCACACTGAGACATGCGCCTGCTTTGTGGACATAAAACGGGTCTGTCTGCTGGGGAAATATGGCACTGTGTCCCAGTTTCATACTATATTAATGTTATTAAGGATAAATTATGTACTATTCTTAACAGTATGCTGTTTGAACAATTAGTAAACAAGAAATGCCTCTACTTCACTGTTCACTCCCAAGAAGAATCGATACAAGCCACTGAGCTGCCTTTTTTGGGGGGTTCTATATACTTTTGCTGTTTGCTTTACCTCCTTTATTCTCTTTTCTATTTTTGATACATACAAATACACAGACTGCCAATTTCACATTTGAAAACACCAAGTAAATATTCTTTCAAGGATCTATTACTTTGCGTTATGCTGTTGTTTTCTTTGTTCACCAAAGGCTGTTGCACAACTATCCGCAATTCTCACCCTTTTTATTCAGTTTGAAGTGGCTTATTCATTTCTTTTATGCGTACCGTGGTAAACTGTCAACTGATATCACCTTTATATAAAAAATATTAATACATATTAGTATTCCTTCTGGTCTTTATAGCAGTGCAATGCATAGGACCCTACAGATACAGGTCAGGGGCTTCTGTTGATTTTTAAAGTGTGAATGGGTTTAAAAAAAAAAAAAAAAAGCGATCTCAGTGACTGCTCATTTCTGGGATTTTATTCACAATAGTCTCAAGAGTTTACTCAGAATAACACTAAAAAAAAAAAACCCATCCAGTGGCAGTTCTGTGGACAGAAAAGCCTTGTTGATGTTTGAGGTCAGAGGAGAGTGGTCAGATTGGTTGGAGCTGACAGAAAGACAAAGGTAACTCAGATAACCGCTCTCCACAACTGCAGTGAGCTGAAAAGCGTCTCTGAATGTCCAACCAACAGCGAAAAATCACGTCGGATATAACTCCTGCTAGCCAAGATCAGAAATCTGAGGCTGCAGCAGGCATAGGCTCACCAAAAAGAGGACTGTTGAAGATGGAAAAAGAGAGCCTCGGCTGATGAATCTCGATTTCAGCTGAGGCAGCAGATGGTAGCGTCGCACTTTGGCATCAACAGCATGGATCCATCGACCCAACCTGCCTTGTGTCAACAGTCCAGGCTGCTGCTGGTGGCGTAATGGTGTGGGGAATATTTTGTTGGCACACTTTGGGCCCCTTAATACAATTCAATCACGGTCTGAATGCCACAGCCTATCTGAGTGTCGAGGCTGACCATGTGCATCCTTTTATGGCCACAATTTACCATCTTCTAATGGCTACTTCCAGCATGATAATGTCTAGATTATCAACCAGAATCTCACAGGAATGTTTCGACTGGAATCCAAGCCATGAGATATTGAGGCTGCTTTAAAGGAAAAAGGAAGTCTTACTTAGTATTTGCATAGAGTTCTTAATAAAGTGTTCTGAGAGTATATCATGTATTATTTCCAGTTCTTTGTCTGATTCGGCTAAGCACTCACCACACAGTGTTGCACTTTGTTTTTTTTTCTGTACAGTATCAGTTACTGGATTAAGCGGTGTATAGATAATGGATGGATGGAGTATCAGTTACTATTTTTAGACACACTATACTATAAAACAAATATGGGCTAAACACTGTTCATTTGTCCTGCTCTGTATTCTGTCAGACTTTTTCAGTAAATAACACCTGAGGTGGTCATTGGTTTCAAGTAGAAATCTGTAATGTTCTGATCCAAAATGATTAAACGCCACCCTGTTCTTTTTCCTCTGGCTTCTGTCCTGTGATTCATGTGAAAGGCTAGAGAGTGCTATGTAGCAGCTGGCATGTTCCGTCATTTATCTTCTAAACTAAACCCTTATATCACATACAGTGGATTCCTGATCATACACCTATCACATGAGTACAACTAATGCTAAAGCTTTTCAAGCAGCCAAACCAACCAGTATCCAGACCAGTAAAGCCGACAGCAGCTGCTGAGAGCTGGTATCTCGGGAATGTGACAACAGGAGAAACAAAAGTGGCAGTTGGACTGTCTTCAGATACAACACATACAGAGGGGCTCCCCAGCACACACAAACACACACACACACACACACACACAAACACACACACACACACACGCACGCGCACACACACACGCACACACACACACACACACCTACACACGCGCGCACAGACACACACACAGGTCCTCCTTTGGCCACACAGGTTAATGAACATCTGTTGCTGTGCATGCTGGATGGCACGTCTAAGAGGGGAACCCCACTAGTTACCCATGTCCTGACAAGCAGCCTCTCTTTCTCAAAATGCATTAAACTTAGTTCACTTAATTCAAGGAGGATTTCAAATACAAATAGATGTTTTTCAATGTCAAAGAAACACTAACAGTGGTAATCTGACTGATTCAGTCTCTTAGAGAAGCATTAAATATACCAGTTTAAGTAACAGGAAGGATGTTCCCTTTTATTACACTATCCAGATTAATAAAAAGAATATATGGCACAGCAAATTCCTCAGACTACCTTGGACTCTCCTACAAGGTTACAAGCCTCGCTTTTAAAACAGACTTATAAAATGACATTAAATGTGCACATACCCTGTTTTTGTGAAGTCGAAAGCAGTCCATATCCTCAGATTCTACTCCAAATCCTAAACATTACAGCCATGAAATCCAAACTCCAGCGGCACTCAGTGTCTGCAGAGCTGGCTGAGCCAGCATACAGTATCCTACCACATCCTGTGTTTCCACACACACATGCACAAAAACACATACGCTGCTGTTCCCTTGACTGAGGGGAAAAGCAGTTGAAATCAGTCTTTGAAAGAGACGGTTATGCTAATTTAGCTTTACTGGATTAGGAGGAAAATAGTGTCTCCTTTTTATGCGTCTGGAAACTTTACCCTCTTATGAGGAAGGAGGAAAGAAAAAAAAAAGTGTGTGTGTGAGTGTTGGTCTATGCACATGTGTGTAAGTGGGTGTTTCACAGTGGGACAGGGGGCAGCTGCTGCTGCCCAAAAAACACTTGTGTGGCTGTTGCCTTAGCAACGGCACTGTCACACTGGAGGTAATAAAAGAAGAATTTAAAGAGGTCAAAGTGCACAAAAAACTTTCACTGTATGGAACCTCAAAACACAAACACAACCACAAACACGTACTGTACATATATATTCCCTGATTGAGAGCTTCACACCAGTTTATGTGGAGGTCTGGACTCAACTGTCACAGGAAATAGAAGGTTAACGCCCATTGTCTGTTCCAGTTCGGTGAGTCGGACGGGAAAAAAGGTTGAGAAAAAGGAGGGAAGACAGAGATGGAGAAAACACCAAGACTCAGTGACCCAGAGACACAGCAAAAACAACCAACATCAAAGGTCGGAGGGAGGCAGAGAGAGGCGGCGTGCGTGTGTGTGTGTGTGTGTGTGTGTGTGTGTGTGAGATGCCTTACCTCAACTATCTCTGTGCAGGCGTGAGACACAAGGTGCTGCTTGTGGGGATCTATGACAGCCACCTGGACCAAAGCATTGGGCTTCCTGTCTCTGCCTGAGGCCACCAGATCATTACAGGCTACACAGAGGAAGAGAGGGAGGAAGGGAGAGCCGAGAGGGAGAGGAGAGGAGAGGATGGAGAGAAAACAGGAGGAGATGAGAGGAAGGAGAGAAGGGAGGAGAAGAGGATGAAAGATGAGAGGGGAAGATAATCCTTTAGGATACACACATAAGCGACACAACTCACACAACACTGGGCCACAAATGGAGAACATGACAATAGATGGAAGACAATCTCAGGAAAGAAGGTACATTTATAAACATCTCATGTAAAATTCAAAGTCCCATGTCAAAGTGATCTGCAGCACCACAAAGGAACAAAGAAGGTACATGTACTGTATGCAGGAAGGCCTCAACCCCAAAACACAGAGAAAGTTTGGAGAAATGCATAAAATATATATTAAGATATAAAACTGCTGTCTCAGCAGTTGATTAAAATGGCAGCTAGGCAAGTAGAACTCCCCCCTGGCAGTGAGATATCAGTTTTATTAGGGCTTTCATTTCCAACATCAAAAGCAGCTTGTCACTCAGCCCCCCTGCTTCCAAGGACAGGACCAATTTGCATTGCACAATTCATATACAGAGCACCTGGGTGTGAACGGTTATGAACAGAAAACCATTTTAACAAGACAATACTCACAAACTGGTGCATTAATAAACCAGACAGCACGACAACATACTTGTCATGTCTTTAGTAATATTAGACTCACAGTTGAAAAGTTGTAAAGTGAAGTGAAACGACAATGAAGCATCTTGATTTTTCCTGAACAAGTCAAAATGCGCAGCCTTAAGCAGGAGACAGGCTCTTTTCTGTGTCTATACGTTTTGGAAACATTAAATAAAGACAGAAGATATGACTCTTGTGTTCACATCTGCTTCACATGAAAGACCTATAAAAACATCAAGCCTGATGCAGAGTAAATTGCACCATATGGTGCTATATTTATGCATGAATTAGCTTTTGTAGATACTTGACTACAGTAATGACTACATTTTTGCTCACAAACCTCTTTGGGTTTTGTCCAAAACTTGCATTTTATCTATCAGCACAATTCTGGCATGTAAACAACCATTGATCTGCTCTCAATGCCCGGTCAGTTTAACACATTGCTTTGCAAAAAAATAAGTCTGGATAAGATCACTCAGTGGGTGAAGTTCCATTAAAAAGACAGCAAAGGAAGAACAATCTTTCTGTGTGCAGCACCATCTTCATGGGCTTGGATTTAATGTTTAAACAACCGAGCAGCCAGTCGAGATGAAAGTGAGTCCTATTGGAGGCTGTTCAAAAAAGAGAAAGAAAAGCAACAATGAAGTTGCCAAAGTAAATACAATGTTCATTAGCAGGACACCAAATGCTCCAATGTATGTAAACCATTTTTTCTCAGGTTTCGAGGTAGTTAATGTCACTCTCTCTGGTGTGTTGGGTGAGATGTGGTAAAAGGTTTCTTTTCTAACAGGATCATTTGCCTTTATTTTGACATGGACAGAAAGACATACAGGACATAACATGAAGCTTACTTTAAAAACACTAATTTACACACTGCCACATGGATTTTCACCAGGAAACTAAATCAAAACCAGAAAGTTTCCAGCAGAATTTGAAAAGCTGATGCCGCTGTCAGGGTGACTGTCCTTGGCTTTTTTAGGAACAGCAACACAAACAAAAGCAGAATTTAATGAGCATTTGTCACACACTTGTCTGCAAGAAAGCAGAGAAATAAAATGAACGCTTTCAGCATGCTAAAGTCAAAGCTGTTTTATAATCTGTGACTTTACCATTCCTTTTCATCGTATCTAATACGAAACTGAGCAGACTTCATACGGCAGAGAAACATTTGGCTGAAGGTTGACTGACACGGTGTTAAATATTAAAAACAGGTTGAGTTAAAAGCAAGGTTTGTACTGTTATTCACAAAATATATTGACAGCAGCATGAAATTCTGCTGTTTCACAGAGGGCAACTACTGCAAAAGAAAATCTTCGAAAAAATAGTTCTTAACTCCATTGACTCCAGCTTTGATTTCTATTTGCATGTTGTGATCATCTGCGCCATAAGAATCACAACTTTTTCAAATAACAGCAGAGTGTAGAACATTTAACACCTACAGCACACAGTGGCTACCAAGACAAATGCAACAACAGTAGGCATGCAGTACACTGGTGACACTAAACTGACTCCATACATATTTAAAAAGGAGATTATGCAGAAGGTGCAAATCACAAAATCCCAGACTTTATGGAGAAAAGCTTCTTGTTTTCCAAGTTTGTATGTTCGATATGAAAAAATATAGTAGCCAATGATATTTCAAAATGCATCTGGGTATGTTAGTGCAGTTCTAAGACAGACACAGAAGACATATGACAAGATCACTTACTTTTTTAGTGTAACTTAGTATAACTTTAGCAGCTAACTTAAATTGGTTATTCTGAATATGACCATGCATACCAATACTTTAGTCCCTCTTCAGAGTTTTTTTTTTATTTTTATTAAACCTCTCAAAACTCACCGCTGTGCATTGAAGTCATAGTACTATATTATTAATAATAACATCCCCATCCTGTTTTAAGTAACTTTACATCGTTGCCTACTTTAGAACGTGCAGATGTATGATGTCCCTGTCACTCAGCAGCTTGAGCACACCAGCTCACCTAAGACTCAAACACTGTGAAACTGCTCTACAAGATGGCAAGTTATGATATTTGGAGTAAATCAGTCGTACATGTTCGGATGGGTTCTGAAAAGGAACAATCCTCTATGCAAGGTGACAGGGCTGGTTCCTTTGGTTTTCTGCATATGAAATCTTCTGTATGCTGCAGTTTCAGAGCAGGGGTGGTCAGCAATGCTATTGACAGGTCACCGGGGAGGGTCTTTAAGATTACTTCTTACAAAGCTTACCACAGATTTAGAATTTCTCAAAAACATATTACATTAAAATTAGAAACTATAGCTAATTGCAACTAAACCACTACTTGACAAATCCTTTGCCTCAGCTGAAACTTCTGCTCTGTCACTGTTACAAGCGCTCACAATGTCCTTTTAATGTCCTGCATTTAAATCTGGCTGCTAAAAATGCTGCATAGAATAATCATCTTCGTCCTTTTACTCTACACTTTCCAAAAACAAGTAAAATTTACAAGAACTTCACCCAAAGAATTTCATGTTATATTTTATAACATCCATCCATCCATCCATTATCTATACACCGCTTAATCCTCACTAGGGTCGCGGGGGGGCTGGAGTCTATCCCAGCTGACTTAGGGCGAAGGCAGGGGACACCCTGGACAGGTCGCCAGTCCATCGCAGGGCCACACTTAGAGACAGACAACCAAGCACACTCACATTCACACCTACGGACAATTTAGAATCACCAATTAACCTCAACATGTTTTTGGACTGTGTGGGAGGAAGCCGGAGAACCCGGAGAGAACCCACGCTGCACGGGGAGAACATGCAAACTCCACACAGAAAGATTCCGGTGCCCCCACCGGGACGCGAACCGGCAACCTTCTTGCTGCGAGAGTGCTACAGTGCTTACCAGCTGCGCCACCTTGCAGCCCGGTTCATTTAAAAAAAAAAAAAACATTTCTGACTTCTATTTCTATCCATTGATATTTTATTTTATTAATTTATCTTCTATCTATAGGAGTTGGGGTTGTTTCTATTGTTCTATTGCATTTTTGTATGTTAAGCGCTTCGTGTTGCATTTTTGCTTTTATGAAAAGTGCTACATAAATTAAGTCTGATAAATGTCAATAAAATAAGGCAAGATGTAAAAAAAAAAAAAAATAGACGTAAAATACCTTCGAGTTACTGGGGGGTTTGTATACAGTCTCAGAATAACCAGATGTACATGGGTCAGGAACTAGATGAGAGTCTGAACAGACTGTGTGATGGATGCTGATAAAAACAGCCCATCTGTTACATTCAAACCCTGTGACAGCAATTCTGAAACTGACCTTTGATTCCATTAGTCGAAATCACATTTGCTAATTTCTCCAACTCTCCAGGGCATGTCTCATCACGAGACTCACTTAAGAGTAGTCAAACTACAACATCTCACTTTGTAACATTAAGTTGAAAAGGGCTTTACTGACACAACTAACTCTGCATCTACATTCTTGAGCTCACACACCTTGTCTGAGTTTTGCCTGAGAACTGATGAGAGAGTCTGGAGCAGAGGCCCGACCACAGCAGGGAGCACAGAGGGAATCATGAAGGGAATAACTTGGTCTAAATGGACAGCGTGCAGCATTGCAAGGCAAACCGTGAAACAAGTGTTTCTGATGCTGTTCTGCTACTGATATAAAAAGACGAGAAAGCTGTTGGAAGAAACCACTTAGGTTTATATACATCGTATGGTATATATACCTACATAAACTTACAGATATTGTGTTTAAAAGTTGTATTTTTAAATGTATTGTTTATTCATTGCGTATCTATAAACAAGAGAACAAATTCATGTGTCAAAAGCTATTCAAAACAGATGCTTCTGATTTATACAGTATTCCATAATATGTTGTAATAGAATTTCTAGTATGTATGTTTTTACTGCTGAATAGTTTTCAACCAAGAGCATCTGTCACACGGGGGGCAGTTTGAATATCAGCTATTGCTGCATATGATTGCCTGACTACCTCTTGGATTTATTCCTGTAAATCATCAGAGGGATGAAAATGGTGCCATTCAGCTACACTTCCAAATGTGGCTGTCTTTGTTATAATGGGTAACATAAGAAATAACTCCATCAGTAACACAGGACTTAGCTGTGGCCCAAAAAGATGGAGGAAAATCTTTTTGGGTGTTTCACTGTCACTCAAAAAGAGCCTGAGCTGCTCAGTCAGAAACCTAGATGTAGAAGTATTCTATTTTTGACAAGATAATTCATGAAAGTCTTGTATATCAATCTGTAAGCCAATTCAAGAAACACAGACTGCTCTATTCTACAATTATGGAATTTATAGAGAAAAGTATGTTCCTTGTTGGTGGGATGCAAGTCTCTGCAGGTGTCAATGAAACCA